CGATTACTTTGATGAATCGATTAAAATCGATTATTTTCAAAAAATCCGAAATAATCGATTAAAAGTCTAACCGATTTTAATCGATTATTAGTAAGAGTCGATTAAAACGAATTTTTTTATAAAATCCAAAATAATAGATTACAAATCTAATCGATCAAAAACCATATCCTTTTTAAGAAAATAGGAATTATGGTTTATAACTATAAAAGATTTTATATTTAAGGAACTTAATTGACGGGCGTTCTGCCCATGTAAAAAAAAACAGCCTAAAAATCTGATTTAAATTGGTTTTTCGGAGAAAAATCGGAAAAAATCGATTAAAAGGAGCAATTTTGATTAAATTCGTGTAAAAAATCGATTATATTCGTTTTAACTTAGGTAAAAATTGATTAAAATAGATTATTTTTAGAAAATTCGAAATAATCAATTTTAATCATTTAATGCTAATAATCGGTTAAAATCGGTTATTTCTAGAAAAATCAGAACAATCGATTAAAAATCTGATTGATTTTAATCGATTATGCTGGTAATCGATTAAAACCGGTTATTTTTAAAAAATTCGAAATAATCGATTAAAAAGCTAATCAATTTTAACCAATTAATGCTGTTAATCGATTAAAATCGACTATTTTTAAAAAATTCGAAGTAATCGATTAGAAATCTAATTAATTTTAATCGATTAATGCTGATAATCGATTAAAATCGATTATGTTTAGAAAAATCAGAAGAATCGATTAAAAATCTGATTGATTTTAATCGATTAATGCTGGTCATCGATTAAAATCGATCATTGTTAGAAAATGCAAAATAATCGATTACAAATCTAATTGATTTTAATCGGTTAATGCCGGTACTCGGGTAAAATCGATTATTTTTAGAAAATACAAAATAATCGGTTAAAAATCTAATTGATTTTAATCGATTAATGATAGTAATGGATTAAAATCTATTATTTTCAGAAAATTCGAAATAATCGATTAAAAATCTAATCGATTGTAATTGATTAATGCTGGTAATCGATTAAAATAGATTATTTTTAGAAAATTCGAAATAATCGTTTATTGTGAAACAGAATATGAAAGGATTGTTGATATAAATGGGGTAGAAATTCAGCGCGTGACCTCCCTTCTCTTCCTCCCACACACATACATCCAGAACATTGGAAATAGGGTTTGTACCCGTCACGGACCATGTGAGACAGGTTTACGATTCAGTGCAAACCGTGAGATCCGCCTTCAAGGAACTCTCAGGATGCATGTATGGGTAACATTTAACTGGAATATTTCATGAGTGTTTTCTTTTTGAAATTCTTTGGTTCAAAGCGAAGAGTGACAGAAATATGTCATAATATATATGGAATTTTCAGTTTGCATGATGTCAATGAGAATGGGTTTGGTTGTATTTCACATTTTATTTCTACAACGATTGCGCTAACTACTTTTTTAAGGAACCCAAATTATCGATTAAAACTGTAATAAATTTTAATCGATTTTAATTGATTAATCTGGATTGTAATCGATTTTAATCGATTATTTATGTAATTGCGCAATCTCAATTGATTCAATTTATATAGGAGTTCCGAATTTACTATGTTTGTAGAGCTGAAGCCCTATGGTAATTTCTCGATGAGCTCTCGAAAAAAATCATTAAAAAATAGGGTTCCATGTTCGAATCTCGAGAAAAGCGCTTATTTTCGATGCTAATGATTAAAATCGATTAAAATTTAAAAATCCATTAAAATCGATTATCCAACACAAATCATTTAAAACAAGATAGAAGGTAAGAATCTATTAAAATCAGATACAAGGTAAGAATCGGTTAAAATCAGATGTCAAGTAAGAACCGATTAAAATTGGATGCCATGTCAGAATCGATACAAATCCATTAGGAATTAATAATCGATGAAAATCGATTCGAACATATGGATGTAAAAAATCCCGGAAAAAATCAGATTTTAATCGATTTTTTTCTGATTAAAAATCGATTTAAATGGCACGATTTTAATCAGATTTTTAATCAGAAAAATCAATTTTAATAGATTTTTTCGATCGAAACCATGCCATTTAAATCGATTTTTAATCAGAAAAAATCGATTAAAATCGATTTTTCTGATTAAAAATCTGATTAAAATCCGATTAAAATCGTGCCATTTAAATCGATTTTTAATCAGAAAAAAATCGATTAAAATCTGATTTTTCTCGGTCTTTTTTTTACATGGGTTCCACACCCGAATATCTTTTCTCATAGATAAAAACTTGTGTTCTATCTCAATTCGATAAGATCCGATTCAGACATAACTTCACTTTTGTGACATACAAATGGTAATGAGCATTGAAGTATATAGCAAGAAAATTGAATTTTTCTGCAGATGGTTACAAACAGACAGACAGACAGACAGACAGACAGACGAAACTGATAAAGCTTTTGAATGCTACAATGATTCGTGTGTCCAGGACTTTGCTTAACGAGTGAGACGAATCTATTGTGTTTCACATTTTAATGCCTATATTTCCGGCGTATTTTGAATCAGTTCTCAAAGCAATTCAACATTTATATTGAATATATATAGTGACACTCAAAACATTGATCATGCATCTCACACAAAAAATGAAATGTATATTGTACGATTAAACACTTTTTATTTCATATTTTTGAACAAGAGGACGCTTGAAAATTATATCAGCGAAGTTGCAGTTGCTTGTCAGTAAAAATATTTTTCAAACCCGTCATCTTATTCAAAAAATGAAATCCAAACTGTTGAATTGTACAATATCATTTAAGTTGTTGCATGAAGTATACGAAGTGTGTGGTTATGGGTTTATCGAAATCTAGCAACCACATCTACACCCGAACCCACCACTAACTGGTTTTCAAATGTTTATATTTGGTGCTTTTTCGAGAAAAATGAATTATCATCGCTTATTCTTTTTTAATTATTTTTCTATTTATGTATGCTCAGGAAACTGTTTTTTCTGTATTTTGAAAATTACAAGTCATAACAATGTTTTGATAACTGCTATACAATTATTATAGTTCCTTCAATGTTTTGCAATGAAAAAACACATGTCTCACAATTTTAGAATAGTTTATGGAATAACATTTAAGATGTTCTTTCTTACTTTAGTGAGAAGAGGAGCGACACGCGCTTCAACATTGTCATCAGAAATCCCCACATAGAATTCGGGGTCCAGCTCATCACGGACAAATTGACTATAAGAGCGATGTTGAGGATCGACTCGCTGAACGAGTTCACCAGCCAAAAATCCAAATGTATAGGCATGATAACCATGTGTTGATCCGGGTTCCCAAAAAGGTTTCTGCTCAGCCAATAAAGAAGTTATCCGAGTCCAATCAAACACATCATTGAGTGTGAGTTGTTGGTCAACGCATGGTAGGCCAGCTCGATGAGATAATAGCTGGTTCACCGATATATTCTTCGATAAAATATATATGAATAGAAAATTTACATGAAAATATAAATTATAAAAGGGAACATAATTTTTGATCAGTAAAATAAATGAAATGGTTAGTAAAAAAAATATACAATTGATCAATGTTAATATTTAATGATCAGTACTAAAACGATCAGTAGTTAATTATAAAATGGCCAGTTTTTTATACATAAGTATTAGTAAAATATTCAAATTTGATCAGTAAAAATGTAGAATTTATCAGCAGAAGAAATAAGTTTTCTTCGTATAAAGATTAATGTAGTATAAGAAAAATAAATATTAATAAATAAAAGAAACAAAGAATAGATAAGAAGAAATCTAAAAGCACATTAAATAGCAATTCGAAGAATGAATAGAAAAAAAAATGAAAATGAAATTTTCATTATTGTACTAGCAAGACAAGTCTAATCTATATTGCTGGTCTACCTCTTTCTCTTTTCCTCTCAATCGACATTGTTTTTTGTTGCTGGTGATGGTTTGCAATATTTCAAATGCATAGCCATATCAACAACGTGTTTACATATATAATTCTTAAAAAAAATTGGACAGTTGCATTTTAATTTCTCCAATCTTTATCATTCTCCATTTCTATGCACCAAATGTTAAATGATTTTTTGAAGTGGAATTAGACAATTGAAGCATTTTAATATCTGCTATTATTTCTTTTGCGATATATGTACTATCTATTTGAGTTACACCTTAACGTATGTCACTTTTTATACTTACCATTTAATTTAATTTACTGATTTTTAAATATATGAACAAACCTAATTATTTTAATAACTGATCGTATTTAAATAGTTTACTGATGATCATTCATTTATTTTACTGACCATTTAAATGGTGGCTACTGTAACACGGATTCTTTTTAATTCATATTATAATATTAGAGACTGTTCTTTATCCTCTGTAATATTATTTCGTTCGGTTATTCCCTGAATTATCGCTAGATAGGTATGAATTCAATGATTCATCGTTTCCATTTTACTGTTTTTCATTTTTTCTTAGAGAATGGGAATGATTTCGCTTGCGTTATCTGTCGCATTCTCCGTGGGATTATCTTCTCTTTGATTGAATAAACATGGTTAGGAAAGCGTAGAGTCTAGCAAGAATGAATAATTATTTACATACCTCCTTTCCATTGGCACTGAATTCAGGCCAGTACTTGGCTACAGGTGCTTCATAATCGAGCCAACCTTTCTCCACACATAACGCCACGGCTGCCGCTGCAATACCTTTTGACGTTGAAAAAACAAGTTGAAGAGTACCTGGTGTATATGGTTCCTTTTTTGTCTCGGCATCTTTCCAACCACCAATCAAGTTCACTACACATTCTCCAAGATGATAAATGCATAGGCTTGCTCC